ATAGAGATAGAGATAGAGATAGAGATAGAGATAGAGAGAGAGATAGAGAGAGAGAGAGAGAGAAACAGAGAGAGAGAGAGGGTAGTATAAGGTGGCCCTACAAAACAGTAGGATATGGCTGTTTAAGGTAAGTCCCTCGTCCTGTAAACCACGAGACCAAACCCTTCAGACCCAAGACTCGAAGCCCAACGTCCTCGATGACTCGTAGACCTTAAACCCGAAGTCCCAACCCCAACTTTTGAGCCCCGAAAACCGCCCCTAAACCCTATAAACCCAAAACCCTATAGGCCCAAAACCCTAAGCCCTCTAAACCCGAAACCCTAAGCCCTATAAACCCTAAACCCAAAACTTTGGGCCCAAGAATCCCCAACTCCAGAGTCCCGAACCCCTATATTGCCTAAGCCCCAAGCCCTACACCTGCCATTTTCTAGGACTTATGGGGCCCACCCAAACCCCTGAACCGGCAAAGCGTTTCAATAGCGGAAATCTAGATAAACACCCTTAGCTGCACGACCTTGCAAGCCCGCTAAGGCCGTGGTGGCAGCTGTCGCATGCGTTGGCATCGCTCCGTCCAAAGCAGAGACAGGCCTTTTCTTGATGGTCTTCAGGGTATAGAGTTGGGGACTCATTTCTCCTTAGGAGAATATCACGATACTCAGCGTGCAATTTCCAGAACTTGGGTTTCGATCAGTGTCTTAGGATTGAATCCGAGCTCATGTAGCATGTAATCAAACGGATGCACCTAGTGATTAACGAGTCTAGTCTAGACTGCCTTCGACCAGTCTGGACAGGGAGCGATCGAGCCAGGCGAGACCATGACCCTAAAACTTGATCCCCAAGGGCACGTGTCCGACTTGCAATACGGACGTAGTTATCCCTCCACAGCTAAGGCTATCATGGGATCTCTTTGCAATCATCACCCTGCCCCAACATGATCTTAAACAGTCGCACCTACAATCCTAGCCGAAGCCCCGAACTATATACCCTCTAACAACCCCAAACCGCAGAGCCCTACAGAAGACCTTAACGAGGCGATTATATCAACCCTCCATAGATAGACACACCGCGGGGCCCTTAAGGCATCCAACCATAGATCCTCAACTCTAAACCCCTGAACCCCAAACCCTAAACCCCTAAACTCTAAACCCCTAAACCCCTAAAACCCTAAACCCTAAACCCTAAATCCTAAACTAAACCCTAAACCCTATCCAAGCTGGACCCGCAGGCCAGCAAGGGCGACCGTCTTTACCGGTGGCCATCCAACCAACTGAGTGAAGAAGCCGACTAGTTGAGGGTTTGGGGCCCGAGGTAGTGTGTAGAGTTTAGGGTTGAGGGCCCAAAGGCTGCATGTACTTGTAACTAGGAACCCCAAAAAGGCGTTAGCCACAAAACCCAAGTAATTACAAAAACGCAGGTCCCTATATCAGGCATGTGCATGCCGGTCGTTGTCTTTTGGTGCTGTGGTTTGATAGAATGGTGTATTCGTTACACTATGAACTCTAATCAAGCCGCCAAACCCCAAAACCCAAAATCCCAAACCCTAAACCCCAAACCGTAACATCTAAACCCTGAACCCTAAACCCTAAACCCCAAACCCCTATACCCCTAAACCCCTAAACCCTAAACCCTAAACCCTGAACCTTAACCCTAAACCCTAAACCCTAAACCCTAAACCCTAACCCCTTAACCCCTTAACCCCTAAACCCCAAGCCCTGAACCCCTGGAGCAGGCAGAAATCCTCATGCCTGACACTGACGACAATCCGACCTAAACCCCGAACCCGACACCCCTAATGTAAGGGGGTTCAGGGTTTAGGGCTTATAGGGTTTAGGATTTAGGGTTCAGGGTTTAGGGTTTAGGGTTTAGGGCTTAAACATTTGCCAATACCATTTTTGGTGTTCCTTACTAAAACTATAGCAGAATGGGCCCCAAAATCCTATTCGAGCTCAGTCTTGTGTGCAAAGGCGTGTTCGGGCAGACCCAGGCAGCCGCGCTCTGGACGAGAGGCATCGGCAGGAACGGCAAGGACTCCCTCTGCAATGCCGTGGCGGCTGTCCGGGGATGTACTGCGTCTCGATCGCGGCCCAAACGCTGTCCTGCATCCGCGACCCCTCGGCGCCGAGCCCTGCGTATGCCCTTTGCAGTGCTCGCAGGTTCGTCGCAGTACGCGAGATCGACCGCTGCGAGCCCATCAGCCAGCAGCTGTACGACTTCTTCACGGACCCAAAGTCAGAGCTGCAAGGAAGAGACGTGTACGAGAAGCCTGTGACTTTCAGACCACAGTTTCTCATCTTCTTCGCCAGCAATGACCCGCCTGCGTTAGTCAGAAGCCCCAAGCCCTTTGTAACCCTAACATAGAAGCCTAAATCGTGAGCAACATTATTCCTTAGGGTTCCTTATAACGATACAATAAGGGAGCCCAAAACCCTATTCTAATTAATTATTAAGCCCCCTATATTCAACCCGAAACCCCTAAACCCTACTGTAGGAGCCCCTCGGCTACGGCTTTGGCATCTGAGCACCGGAAGTGCGGGCTGAACCTTCACCCGCAGAGGCTCTGAGATGCTGACCTTTGAGTGTTCAACGGTTTAGGGTTTAGGGTTTAGGGCACTAAACCCTAAACCCTATAGGGTCTACAAAGAAGGGCTACCTCCCTAAACCCAAAACCCAAAACCCTAAACCCACAACCCTCATACTATGGGGTTGAGGCTTGCCGAACCTCGAGAGTCTCGGTTTATAGGGTTTAGAGTTCTACGATTTAGGGTTCTAGGGCAGAGAGGATTCTAGGTTTTAGGGCTCTAAGGTTAGAGGGATGCAGGGTTCAGGGATCCAGGGTTCAGGGTTCCAGGGTGTAGGATTGTAGGGTTTAGGGTTCTAGAAATCAGGGTTAGGGTGTACGGTTTCGGGTTTAGGGCTTGTTAGCGTTTACAGGGTTTAGGGCTCAGGGTTTGTTCGGGTTTACAGGGTTTGTGGTCTGGGGGTTTAGGTTTTCGGGTTTCGTATTGTCAAAAGAGTGCAGCGTTTTTTAAGTTGTCAGGAGTTTAGGGCTCCTTGCTCTACAACGTAATTTAGTTATTACAGTTGTCATGATAGGAAACGAAATCGCGAGCGCCCTAGGTACATCATTCTGTACATAGAGAGCACAGCTATAACTATCATTACCACGATTATTATAATCATGTGTTTTATTTGTTTCTAGTGTTGTTCTGATGATGATTGTTATTATTGTTCTTCATCTGCTTCTGGTAGAAGTAAGAGGACTTTAATATAAAATGGAAGCGTTAAGCAAGCTCCCGAACAAAAACCCATAGAAGTATAGAAGACCCAAACTAGAAGGCGAGGGGGGGGGGCAGCGATGGTTAAGGTCCCTCCGTTTGGATCCAGAGAATCTGGAGGTCATCGTCAGATTCAGTTTAGGGCTTCGAGTTTAGGGTCTGGATTTAGGGTTTAGGGTGTAGGGAGCTCTAAAGCCTTAACCCTAAACCCTATTGTTACCCGGGGTTCGGGGTAAAGGCTCAGGGTTCAAGGCGAAGAGATTAGGAGCGTCTCCCTTGGTGTCAACTCCGGTATGGGCCATGGTGTCATCGACAGGCGTGGTAAAGACATTACCCAAACTACGCTAGCTTAAGTTCGGTAGTCATGGCACACGAGTGAGACTTGTCGCCAGTGTTCGTTCGCTGCCTAGGGGTATATTTGTGGGTCTTGTTATTCTTGGAAACACAGCATGATGCTTACCCGACAGATACAAAACGATAGATAGATTGAAACCTAAACCCTAAACCCTAAGCCCTGAAACTATGTTCATGTGAATTATGTTTGCTGTTGCGCTCAGGGTTTTGAGCTCAATGTTACGATTATGGTTACCACTCTGAAGTTTCGGTTAGCAAACCTTAAACCCCAAACCCCTAAGCTCTAAATGTGAACCCTGAACTTGAGCCTTTAATCCTAGTATAAGCCTGGTTAAGAAACCTGTGTCCTACATTTTATGGGGATCCATACAAGGGTAGTTCTCTAAATTAGGGTCCCTTTTGGGGTCCTTTTTACAAGTGTGCCGTATTAAATTAGGGACCAAAAAGGGCACCCTGCTTCAGAGAACTGCCCTAATAAAGAGTGAAAGGCACCCTTACAAAAAGGACCCTAAAAGGACCCTACTTTAGAGAACTGGACATTATATATATATATATATTTTTTTTTTTTAAACTCGAATCCTAAGCCGGAAAGGGGTGGTTTAGCAGTCAGCGACGAGCGGCTTTGGACCCCTGTCTTCCGCGAAGCATGGTCCCTGCAAATTATGGGTTTAGGGTTCAGAGGTTTCGGGGTTTAGGGGGTTTCGGGGTTTAGGGTTTAATTAGGGAGTTTGGGGTTCAGGGTTTATGGTTGAGCGTTTAGGGCTTAGGGTTTGGATGCTCAGGGGTTTACGGGTATAGGTTTTAGAAGTTAGGAGTTCATCCCTGTTTTCCAGCATCCCATGGCAGTGATGGGTATTTGTTCACAATCTCCTGGAAAAATGGTCACCGGGTATCGCGCCGCCTAAACCACTACATGCCGAGATCCAAATCTTCGGGGTTTAGGGTAATATATAGGGGCCTTATGAAGTACCTATGCTAGTTTGGGGTTCCTTGTCATAATTATATAGTATACTGGGCCTCTTGGGGGTTTAGGGTAATATAAGGGGCCTCATTCATTGCCTATGGTAGTTTGGGGTTCCTTGTCATAGTTATAGTATCCTGGGCCCCAACCCTATTCCAATTATGAAGGCCCCTATATTAAACCCTTATAGAACCCCTTATTGCAGTAACCCCTTTAAAGGAACCCTTAAAGGAGCCCTATTCTAATTGCTAATTGTTAAGGCCCCTATATTATAGGGTTTGGGATCCTACTTGACTTAGAGGCCCACGAGACTTAGCAAGTATGTTAGAAGTAGAGTTGTAAGTACTCCAAGAGGAGTTACCCCAATCATAACCCTATCTGATCCTAAAGCCTAAACCCTAAACCCTAAACCCTAAACCGTATTTATGACCAACTTGCTAAGTCACCTGGGCCTCCAAGTCGAACCCTCAACCCAAAGCCCCTAAACACGGTTTAGGGTTTAGGGTTTGGGGAAGCCCCTAAACCCAATCCCTAAGCCGCGGAACCCTTTAACCCCCAAAAGCCTCAGCCCAAGCTTAAACACTCTAAATTCCGAGCTCGACGCCTAAAGTGTAGGGGAGGTTGAGGGTTTAGTGAGGCTTCGCAACATTGAGGTCTCCATTTTGGGGTGCGGGGTTTAGGGTTGAGGGTAGGGTAGGGCACCTCTACTCCGGACCCCTTCTGATGCACCCTGAACCCTAAAACCTAAACCCCTAAACCCTAAACCCTAAACCCTCCCGAGCAAAATCCCGAAGGGGGGCAGTTTTGCAGGCAGTTCAAGCTCGAAGCCCGAACCCCTGAACCTCTGAACCCCGCAACCCCACCTCCTGGGTCGAGGCTCGAGGGCTGCAATACCGAAGCCTATAGAATTCCGGGTTTAGGGTTTAGGGTGTTGGGTTTAGGGTTTAAGGTTTTAGGGTGTAGGGTCTAGGGTTTAGGGTTTAGGGTTTAGGGTTTTGGGTTTAGGGTTTAGGGTTTTGGGTTTTCCCAACATGCTCCCTTAGGGCTCCTGATTATAACTATACTATCAAGGAGCTCAACAGCCTACACTGAACCCTAAACCCCTAGACCCTGCAGTATTCTACCGTAAGCGGTCCGGGCTCCAGTGATCATTGAACCGACACTGGGCTTTGGAGTACCATACTTTAATACTTGTTTTTGGGACCTGTTCCTTAAAGGAACTATTATGAAATAAAAGTCTATACTTTTTTCTCCATGGTTACTTCGAAGTCCAGGACAAGCAGTCGTCTAAGGCCGGCTAACGAAGTCCGCTGATGGTCCCTAGCACTGCGGGGCCCTTTTCGGGGGTTTCCGACAATAGGGGGCCCAAATATAGTACCTCTTAAATAGTAGGATCCTTACTATAAGGACCCCAAAGTAAGGTTCCCACCCATTTTCGGAAACTCCTGTTTCAAAACGTCTTGTCCGAAGCCGCAGACTCGCAGGGTCGTAAACAATCATCTTCCCTTACACTCCCGGTATAGCGTCTTGGTATTTCGCCCCCCAAAAGACTGACTGGTTCTTGAGACCTCGACACTAAACCCTCTCCGGCCTTTAAGCAGCACATGAACCCTTGGCCTTATAGACTCCTTTGCAGGAAACCTTTTGCCAATTATTGAAGCACTTCTAGAATCATGAACCCTAAACCCTAAACTTTCAGCTTCTGACGACAAGACGGACCAGGTTCCTTCGTGGTTTCTCTGCTGCGAAGCCGTTGGTCGTGTTTGTCAGGTACCAGAGCACTGCTTCATCCCTTTTTTGATCCAACCTTCCTCGTTTGACGTCCAGCATGATGCAAGGAGGCATTGTTGCGCAGGGGGCGTCTCAGGTCTTTGGTGCGTACTGTAGGACACTGTAGGGGCCTTAGTATTTCGAACAGAGCTGTGGGGACATATCATAGTCGGGCCATAGTAAGGAGCCCCACGGAATATTATTGGCAATCAGGGCCTTTCTCCTTCATGGTAATCATGGAGTTTTGGCACAGAAAATACACGTAAACAGAGTCTGTCACCCCAGCTCAAATCGTCAGATGATGTCTTATTGCACGTAACCTGAAAAAGCAGAGAATCAATGCCCGTCCGCAGCATCACTTGCTGGAGTTTTCACTCATGACGCAGAGCATTCTCGATGGCTTGATCGGGGAGCCTCATCATGAGATCAGTTGGAAAGTCTCCCCGAAGGCGCCATGTACCATAATACATGTGTATATGTGTACATATGTTATGTATATTTAGAGACCACCCCTCAAAGGGGTTCCAAAAGGTACAATGTACTGAAACCTAAGTGTTATGTACTCTAAGTACAGGTACATGGAGCCGAAGGGTTCGTGTGTTATGTACTCTAAGTACAGGTACATGGAGCCGAAGGGTTCGTGTGTCCTGCAGACGGCCCAGCAGGCTTGATTCATTGATAGTGCTCAAGGCACATGGGAGTTTCCGAAAATAGGGGACCCTAATATAGCACCCTAAATAATAGGATCCTTAATATAAGGACCCCAATATAAGGTACCCCAATTTTCGGAAACCCCCAAATGGCACAACTCAATTTCAATTATTATGCGTGCTCGCTGTCACTCATGGTGAGCGGGCCGCAAACCAATGCCTCTGTCATCGGAAGCCATCGAGATGCCTCTTTCGCTTTGAGCTTATATAACTATTCAAGTGGGACCTTGTCTATCCATCTTCGTGCTCCGTGTGCTCATCTGTCCGTGGTCCGTGCGTCGAACAAGATTCAAACTATATATCTGTCTGTCTGTGTATGGTCCAGAATATGAGCATACCGAAAGGGGCTCCAAGTGACAGTGTACTATATATTTTGGGGTCCCAGTATGCTACGGTACTTGGTCCCTTTCGGATAGTTCAAACGAATTTACCTGTGTACCCTCTGTGT